TACAGGCAACAACGTCCTTTGCGGAAGAGGCAGGTGATGAATGGAAATATACAACAGGTCCAGAAAATAAGTTATACTACTGAAGTAGCGAATATGAGAATATTAGTTGTAACAAACGATATCTGTCATGCGACAACTAGGTGCCTTGTCGTTTCTGGCCTGTCAAATTCTAAACAATCGGTTCGGAAAACAGAGTACAATTCAGTTTGACACGGCGTAGACGACGACGCTGCACGAGCAGTGTCATGATTGCCCGATTAAACGATATAGACCAATTTACTAGTGTCTTTGAAGATTGCAGGTGACTGGTGATGAAAAGTGGAACAGATGTCCCCCGAAGGGTAACCGCACCAACCGGCCAGTCGACAGACGCGGAGGTGGAGAAGCACACGACAGTTCGACGACATCCACCACGAGCTTCAGCAGGCTAAAGGAACGCGGTGATTCATGCGGGGTTATAGTGAAAGTAGGCTTGCAGAGAATCGATCCCACGCTCTAACCACTTCCACACATGAACCCAATGTCAAAACAAAGTCGAGAAGACCGGAGAAGGGGGAGGGCGCAGGCGGCTGATGCGACCAACACCCAACTCGCATACCAACAGCACACCTCGCTAGGTAGGCTCCCACATAGGAGCGCCATAAAGGTCACATTAAGAAGGAGCCACTGAGCCTGACTTTCAGCCCGCAGTAAGCCACTCCACACAACAAGATACGCACTGGGCCCACTGCGGTGTCCAAGTTATCCCGTCAGTTGGGAACCCCTTAAGCCACTGCTTTTGGCGCACCGTGACAGCTACAAGCGTATAAGATAGTTTTAATGAGGAAAGAAATACGCTGAGGGTCGACCTCCTCCTCCGCCAGCAGCAGGCTACCGCCTACCTCAGGTGGGATGGGCTCGAAAAGCACAACTAATGCTGCGCTAATATAGATCCAGCCCCGCGTATATCGTTAAAATATCCTTCAGAACACTGCAACACTCCAAGTCCAAGGTTTACACACATGAATGCCAGCCGCTTGACTGGCATTCGGATGAGGGCACAAGAACAGAGGTGGATACATTTTGTGGACGAAATCCCCCTTATTTTCGTAGTTCCCAACAAGTTAGCTGGCTAGCAATTGAAAAGCTTTCGAGTAGTCCCTGAAATGTCACTCGTTAGGATGTCGAAACAAGCAGATATGGCGCTAAAGTCGGAAGAAACCTGCATTATCAATCTTCTTTAGCCTCTATTCAGCCAGTCACGGCGAAAACGGGAACTCCTAATAAATTCTCACCCAGTAGTCCCTTACCATGCCGGGACGAGGACTTAAACGTGCTGTTTAACCTATACGCCTTATCGGATCTCGGTGAGGTTCCTGTCCTAGCATCTCTGGCAGAAACTCTCTCGTCATCTATAGCTGCAATTGCGCTCCAAATTCGGGCTATAATCCTGGGCCGCTGAAATAAACACGTCTATTACAATCGATAGGAAGGGTTTCAGTGCAACTTCTACAGGACACTGAACGACTTAGTCCGTTGTCCGATGGAATGGCAGTTAGGTGCCCTAACTACAACTTCGCCCACTTTGCCGCCGTGCTCAACTTCACAGGTTTTGCAAGCTCTCTAAAACCCACAAACACAAGGAAGTCGCATCATCTGGTCCCAAGAAGAAAACATAGTGTAAATACTTCACATAATCAGCACTCAAGTCCACCCAAAGTCCAAGGCAACAAGAAAGGCGGCCATGCCCGTTGTCTTTCCTAGGGTGAGGAGGAGCCTTTCAAGGAGACCACATTCACAATTTACGACCCTTTTTGCTGAATGCACCGCGTTCAATTCGACATTGCAGCATTGCAACAA